GTCTCTGTCCCCCATCTCTCTGTGTCTCTGTCCCCCTGTCTCTGGGTCTCTATCCCCCTGTCTCTCTGTGTCTCTGTCCCCCTGTCTCTCTGTGTCTCTGTCCCCTCCCTCTGGGTCTCTGTCCCCCATCTCTCTGTGTCTCTGTCCCCTGGACGAGACCCAGAAGGAGGACAGGAACACAGAGAGACAGGACAGCAGCACACAGGAGGACAGGATAGGACCCAGAGACAGGGGGGACGAGACACAGAGCTATTGGAGGGACGGAGACATGAACAGGGACAGGAGACTCGAGGAGAGAGAGGCAGACCCAGGAGCGGGGACAGGACCAGAGGGACGGGAGACCCAGATCTAGAGGGCGGACAGCGATCCAGAGAAAGATAGACAGAGCCCAAAGAGAGAGGGGCAGCGACCCATGGAGTCAAGGGGAACAAAGACTAGACGGTTGACAGAAACCCCAAGAGAGCGTGGAATTAGAGACCCGGAGAGGAGGGTGAGGCAATGAGACCTTTAGAGCAGGCAGGCAAGAGGACTCAGAGAGAGGAGGGCAGACAGGACTCAGAGAAATTGGAGGGGGGACAGGGACCCAGAGACAGGACGCACCCTGAGAGAGAGGGGACAGCGACCCAGAGACAGGGGGCAGATGACCCAGGAGGAGGAGACGAGGACCGGACATGGCAGAGACCGGACGGGGAAGAGACCCAGCGAGAGAGGACAGAGGACCAGGAGAGGACAGACCCAGGACACGGGACAGAGACTCAGGACACGGGCGAAGAGACCCGAGGAGAGGACAGAGACCCAGGCAGTGGGACAGAGCCCAGGCAGAGGACAGGACCCGAGGCGAGAGGGACAGAGGGGACCCAGGACAGAGGGCGAGAGAAGCCAGGAAGAGAGAACGGACGAACCCGAGACACGGACAGAGACCAGAGACAGGAGGACAGGACAAGAGAGAGAGGGACAGGAAGCCCCAGAGAGGACAGAGACCCAGAGAGAGAGGACAAGGACCCGGACAGCGGACAGAGACCCAGAGAGAGAGGGACAGAGACGAGCAGGAGGACAGAACCAGGAGGAGGACAGAGGCCCAGGAGGACAGGACCCCAGAAGAGGACAGGGACCCAGAGAGAGGAGGACAGGAGACCAGAGAGGACAGAGACCC